CTGGTCCAAACCCTGAAGAAGCACAAGAAGACGGTCACCGTCGCCGAGCAATGCTGCGGGGGCCTCATCCAGGCCGGGATCATGGCCCAGCCGGGAGCTTCTTCTGTCTTTGTGGGTGGCTCCGTCGCCTACAACACCCAGAAGTCCAAGCCGCTGCTCTTGAACGACGCCGACCTGCACAAATCCATCACGTCGGGCSTCGGTGCCGCTGCTTCCGGGATCCAACACGACAAATCCACCGAAGAAGGGTACATTGCCAGCAAGTTTGATTGGACCTCCAAGGTGGCCACCGCCTTTTGCCACGAACTGAAGACGGACTACGCGCTGGCGGAAGGAGGAGCCACCGGGCCGACCTTCAATCCCAGGGGGATGGAAACCGGGTTTGCCGTTCTGTCGGTTGCCGGGAAAGCCGGGGATGGCGATGGCGAAATTTCTGTTTCTGTTTCCCTGCAAAAGCAAGAACTGATTCGTTCTCCGGACAACGACCGAGAAGGAAACATGAGGCGCTTTGCCGATGCCGCGGCGGAGTTGCTGACCGAGGTCGTGGAACAAACGAAAGGGGGTGCGGATTGCAACCCGGAGGCAAACAAAGCGGGAAATTCGAGTGCTTCGGACCACACCGACGGCCACGACCCCGATAACGACAACGATAACTTTCCCTGCAAAAGCAAGAACTGATTCGTTCTCCGGACAACGACCGAGAAGGAAACATGAGGCGCTTTGCCGATGCCGCGGCGGAGTTGCTGACCGAGGTCGTGGAACAAACGAAAGGGGGTGCGGATTGCAACCCGGAGGCAAACACGGCGGGAAATTCGAGTGCTTCGGACCACACCGACGGCCACGACCACGATAACGACAACGATAACGACAACGATAACGACCAGACCGTTTCGCTGGATCGCGCCACTTTCCTCCGGGCCGACGAAGCCGCACTGGACGCCCTCAAACCGCTCGCCAAGTACGTTCTGATCAGGGGCACCGAGATGCTCTTTCGGTCTCCCACCGAGCTGGCCTTCCTGTCCCACGAGGATACCCCTCTGGGAAAAAGCGACAGCGGCGCCATCACCACAACGTTCATGGGCCGTYTGAGCGATGCGGACCACACGCCCGTCTTCTCCCTCGACCTTCTCGACGACGGCCCTTCCTCCGGAGCACCGGATGGCTGCTTCTACGCCAACGCCCGGACSTCCGCTCCCCTCCTCGCCAGCACGCTGGAAAACGAGCTCGTCCTGCACGCCATGGCGTACGCCAACTGGCAGCGGTCCAGCAAGCACTGTTCGAGCTGCGGATCGCCGCTGGAGCTGGTGCACGGCGGGACGGCACAGGTCTGCAACAACGATTCCTGCCGGGAAACCCTCTCGTGGCCGCGGCAGGACCCCTCGATCATCGTGTCGGTGTCGAGCCGCTGCCGGACCAAGCTTCTGCTGGCCCGGAGCCACCGCCACCCACCGAAGATGCACACGGTGCTGGCGGGCTTTGTCGAGGCCGGGGAATCCTTCGAGTCCGCCGTTGCCAGAGAAGTCTACGAGGAAACGGGGGTCCGGGTGGATCCCGACAGCATCGAGTACGTCGCYAGCCAGCCGTGGCCGTTTCCCAGGTCGACGATGATTGCCTTTTCCGCCACCGCGGACGCCGAGGCCTTTGCCTCCCTCGAGATCGACGAAACCGAAMTCGTCGAGGCGGGGTGGTTCGACAGGGCGGACGTCCGAGAGGCGGCCAGAGTGGAGGGGGCGGTCATGGATTCGAACGTGGCAAAGAAGGCACTCGAAAAACACCCGACCCTGCCCCTGYTGATCCCACCCAAACAGGTGGTAGCCCGGAAGCTCATCGATCGGTGGTTGTCTTTGCAATAACAAAGCAACGAAAGAAAACAACGAAGCGAACCGAAGCGAAGCGAACACCAAGCCCGAACGAAAGAACCATAGTGGAACCAAACGGGTCGAGTGCGTTTCTTTGTTGGYTCGCGTCGAATTCATTAACGACCACACCGGAACCATTGCTACTGGAGAGTGCTTGTAGTATCTACTTTGCCAGAAACAAACATTGCGGTGGATGCTYTTTGTTGGTGAACACAGTGCGATGAAATTACCTACTAATACGCAGCTAAGATGGAAGTCAATTTAACTATCAATCACGAACCGAATTTCTGGACAACGATAGCATCTGAAACTGCAGAGGTATCGTTCGGTATGGTTCTGTGTCTTTTTCATCATTACGGTCGCATTTCTACCAATCTTTGAAACTATTTATCAGTTTTTACAATATTCTACAGATCTGCTCATTCTTTGGTCATTCGAGTCGTTCTACTGTAAAAACACTGCAGGAAGCCAACCCCATGCTGCCTGCAGATGATCACAAAAAGGAATGTTCCGATTTCTTCTGTAATTGGTGCCAGTTTGTGATCCATGAATGCATATATACTTTGCATATATCACGTAATCACAATACTACAACTTAAAAAACGTATCCGTATGGTTCGTTTCGTTTCGTTTCGTTTCGTTTCGTTTCGTCTCATTTCGTTTTGTTTTGTTTTGTTTTGTTTTGTTTCGTTGTGTTGTGTTGTATTGCGTTTCGTTTCGTTTCGTTTCGTTTTGTGTTACTTTCGCTTTGCGGCAAACTCCATTGCCACCCGGGCCTTCATTTCCGCTCGGGTTTCGGTGGCTCGGGGTTTCGACGATGGTTTCGTGGTCTTCCCGGAAGAACGATTGCGTTGTTGTAGGAGACGCTGTTCTTCGCTGCGTTTCATTTCCTGGGCCACGCGTTTTCTCATTTGGGCCAGGGACTCCTTTCTCGGCTTGGGTTTTGAAATCTGTTGTGTTCGTTGTTCTACCTCCTCGGAAGAGGAATCCACCACAGTAATATCGTCTTCTTCCACGGAATCGTCGTCGTTCTCATCTTTGTCGTCGTCACTATCAAACTCGGAGACCAAATCAATGGCTGTAGATGTTGTCTTTTTCTCTTTGTTGTCCTCAACAGCAGTAGTTGTTTCCGATCTAGTTTGACTTGTTACACTGTGGCTTCCACCCGCACATTCCTTGCCCTGAGAAGCCACGCAAAAGAGCTTGTAGGAAAGCACAGCCCCTAACAGTAGCGCCACGGACGTTGCGGCGATCAAACGAAGCTGACGGTCGTTGTCGTCGTCATCAAATAGCTGAAATGCAGCAGCCGCCGAAACCGAAGTAACCCACCGGGCAACCTCGAATGTTTCGTGAAGTTGCTCCATCATTGACATTGTAGATATTGAAAGAAAGAAGGATATGCAATGMAATGTTTGTCGTTATTCACTTGTTGTAACAACGGAAGGCAGCTCTTGTTGTCGATGTTCGTGACGAGTCTTCTCGTGCAGTCGTACGGTACAGTTACAATCTCTTCGTAGTTCGTGATTTTGTGCTGTTTGGAATCACGTTTGGAAAATCGAATTTCTTCGAGTACCGAAAATAAAAAAGATTCTACCGCACGGTAATACAGTAATAAATACAGTATCTACGAATCACAATAGAAGTGTACGCACTTTTCTGTATTATCGGTACGAGGATACGAGGATTAGTTGAAAAAATTGAAAAAATTCGAGGCGGGCGAGCTAATCACAACGGAACTCTTTTTGTAGCCCCACTTTTTGAGAGAATTCAGAGAAAGAGAGAGAGAAATCGATGATCACGTTCATCTCGTTCTTAGGGATGGTATTTCGTTCGTAGAAACAACAAGTCGCGCCAAATTTTTCTTCCGTGCTAACAACATCAGGAAGAGTACGAGTACTGTACCGTACGAGTTCGAACCAGTACCGTACATTCCAGGATTAACCGGTAGTACTCGACAAGTACCAGTACAGCCTACGTACCCTACTACGGTGCTCGAACTGCTACGAGTAGAAGTGATCCTACTAAGCGTACGAACGTACGAACGCATTTGTAAGAGTTTACAGAGCGAAGTTCAACGGCAAATACCATCCGTTGGATGCAACATCATGGCAACATGGGAAAAGACAGAGCATATTACTAATCGCCACCATCATCGACAGTCGGGCAACTTCGAAAGTGATATCTTTCTGTTGCGCCAAACCACCATGTTCTGAAGCGGCTCGGTAGGATCCTTGATTTGATAGTTATGGTTACGGCAAAACTTAAATTACTTAAGACGAGTACGAGGTTGCTCGTTGGCACTGGTGGTCTAACTGCGAACCAAACGAGAAAAGTCTTTGAAATCTCAATCGCAGCCTTTCCCCAATATTTCGCGAAATCACACGCGCACACACACACACGCACACGCACACGCAATTAATCAATCAAAGCGAGACGAATCGAACCGAACTGAAAGCTACCACTAACGATAACGATAACGATAACCCAATCGAGTGAACGATGAAAATAGACCGGAGACTTGGGGCTCCGGTGGCATTAAATGGGCACCAATGGAGCGTCGAAGAAATGTGCCGTCGAGATGCCGATCGATTTCTTTCCTCGATTGAAAGGAAGGTTCATCGACGGCGACAGAAACCTCCAAAATCAATAGAAATAGTACAACGCGAACGACACCAATCATACCAAAACACATACAAGCACGATCGCACGATAGCCTCAAGCACGCACCCATATGYGCATGCATGTGACTACAAGAGCAATGAAGGCGTTCACGCTAATGATACGAAGACGATCGGCGAGCGGAGTGTTTCTAAACGAGATGCAGGATATAGACAGCAAAAAAAATCASAGTTTTTGCGGCAACAGCAACAAAAACAACAACGGACATTGCGCCAAAATAGTGGTTCAATATCAGGACGAAMAAAGCGACCTAATGTGATTGAACGACGACTGAAACATTCTGGCGGACTGGGTTCGTCATTCATACTCAGTGATCTACATAATATAGGAGACGAAGGCCCAACACAGAGAAATAACAACATATCAAAAGAAGAACGAGAAGTAGAACAAACGAAAGAGCGAAAACTAGAACGAGGAGAAGAACGAGATGCAAATGACAATGAAGCTACGAGGCTTCAAGTTCAATCCACCACTTACATCACCAATGTAAGTACGAGTAATGTTGTGCTCAACAGCKACAAAGCTTATACCCAGCATTYTTTGTGGAAATTGCTGTGGGAACGACGATGGGAATGGGCCGAAGAGCGTCTACATTTGTACCCAGAGGAAGCAAAGCACCCCGTTGACCTACAGCAAATCATCGGGAMCGAAATTACCAAGAGCAATACCGATGATAAAAACAACATCGAAGATTCGGTGTACCCGCTGCACCTTGCTTGTTGGCTCCGTCCCCTTCCTCCAACGTCGTTGGTTAGAAAACTTATCGATGTCTATCCAAAGGCATGTGTTCATCCCCATCCTTCCTCGGGGCTACTGCCTATCCATATGGCGGTAGATCTAAGCGATCTGGGTCACAGTAGATACGAGAACRCCAAAAGCAGTAATTCTTGCCGCAATATTCACCGCCATGGAGACATTGTGTCCTTGCTCCTTGATCAACACCCAGAATCGATTTTGATGAAAGACAASCTCCAACAGATGACCCCAATGCATGTTGCAGCATCCACTGCGAGTGCCGAAAATGGGGTTGTGACTCCCGTGGCAGCGCGTGTTTTTGAAGTTTTGGTGGCAGCATCTGAACATTTGGCCGACAATTGCAATRGTCCTCTAGCTACCACCTGCCGAGACAAACATGGTCTAACTCCTAGCGATTGGGCCTGGCACAACGTGGACTATTATTGTTCCCGATGCGGTAGGGAAAACATGACGACGAGAGGGAGTGGTAGAAGAAATGCTGGTGATTACATCGAATCTGTCAATAATGAGGGGAAAAATGATGACGACTCTGGTGMGAAACTGTTTGTGCATAATGCTAGCATTCGATGCGAATGCCACCAGGTTGTGTCGGTGGCGAGAAGTTGCGTACATCCCTTGCTGCGAACGGAGATTTACTCCCACTTAAACCTGGCGGAGACCAAGAATACTCCCAATGCCAATGCCAATGCAACCAAGATTTCACTTTCGACTTCAACATCAAATGTGAGCGAGCATGTGGTTGGTCCTGCGATTCGATACGAACCAATTGAAGATTTYATGTCGCTCCCACCAATCAAGGCGTGGCAGCAACAGAAGCAGGGTTCGATATCAATTGCACATGCACCGTCGATACCCCAAAGCATATCACATTTACCAAAAAGTCGAATGGATATGAGTGGCAACGATGGAATGCCCACTACTGCTCCATTTCTTTGGCAGCAGACYATTAACGGTTTCTACTCCTCGAACTATCAGTGGAATGACAAAGACAATTATACTTTCGCGAAGGCCCACTACTACATGACTGACGATTCATCACCCAATAAAGATCAAAATCGCGGTGGGGATGATCTATTAGCTGGCTTGGAAAAAGATCAATGCAAAGATCGGGAGGAACAAGAGCAGATCGAAGAAACCAGCACCCTATCGCCCCGAAGTTTGGAGTTTATCATGGACCAGGTTGTCGATGCCCGTACAATCCGGTCGGAATCCAAAATCGAAACTACAGCAACGCTTCGTTTGAAAATACACTTATCGGAACTTATCCATCCTTCCCAACAAGGCCGGCGTAGAAGGAATGGCGTCAACGACCGATCCCTATCTCGAAAGAACCGCAAGATACCTGTTCCATACTTTGAGTTGTTTGCCGCCCACCGTAGTGGGATGTCCAAGACATTCTACAAGTCGTATCCGATTCTAGGTGGATCTACCGAAGGGACATGGGAGGATGCCTTTTTGGATTTAGGACTGACCCATGAGCAACTCCAAAACGGAACGCACGGTGCCGGTCACGTAGAGGTGGGCTTTCGGGTCATGCATTGTCCAAAAAAGGGGTCAGGAAGTCAACTGATTGGAACCTGTCAGGTTTCCCTCGAAACCTTGGAACGGCAGCAACGGGACTTGTTGATGGTGACGCGTTGTGGATGTGACGATGTGACTGCTACTCACTCATTACAGGAACCGGAAAAGCTGCCAATTTTGAATGGGTTTGAGGTGACGGGGAGGCTACAAGTATTGTCTTTGTCCATCGAATGATTTACCCACATTCTGAAGATTTGCATCGTTTTATCCAAAACATTGCTATGCACACTTATTGACTATAATAGGTAGGGAAAACCATAGAAATTGATTAGTGGCACGAGAGCGCAACTATTACACGCGTTATGCGTGACCTTTATTCTGGCACCTACAGCTATTACTACCATGCCACAAGCACCAAATGCCTGAGGGACACTCCTCACGCTCGTTTGAAGTTCAACCAGCCACTTGATTGGATCTGGCATTCGGGTGTTCGTATGTACTCCCTCTAACAGGAGCCTCCACCTCTGCGCCTTTTGCACTCTAGCTGTTTTCTCCTTTCATGTTGTCACTCTCACATTCGCTATCAACTGCTTCGTCAGTAATGACCTATTTCGGAGTTGTATTCGACATCAATACATATTTGGATTTCAACTGACAATCATATTCCAGTCCATAGAAGTTCTTTAGCTCCCATTTAATCCTTCATGTGTGACCTTCAATTCATAGCAGATGAAACCTACTGTACAACTGCTACCAACCCAATTTGTCTCACAGACGCATTCCACTCCATAGTTCCTTAGCTACTATTAGTAGTAGAGGAGGCATCAAGAAGGCTCTTACTACTACTACTACTACTACTACTACTACTACTACTAGAGTAGTACTACAATTGTGATATTACTCGTACTAGTGGGGAGAAAGGGCTGTAAATGAAGTTGTATTGCTACTAGTAATACAAATTTGTGTTTTGGATGGTCTTTTGGCTCATCTTTGGGACCCCTCTATTTATTGGTTGATTTGTGTCATTCATCATTGACTTTCCCTGTATGTAGAGCTCGTGAGTTCAACAATCCCAATAATGTCAAGTACTTCTTGCTCTGTCCAAGAATGACTGTCCCCTAAYAACTTACTACTGAAATAAGAACAATTTTTGGTCAATTTGGATGGTTCTTTTTATATTTTTTATTCTATTGATATTGCTTAATGCTATTTGAATATGTTATGCTCCCTTTCAATGTTGTACCAGCACAAAATAAACTTATTGTATCATAGAGTTGGCGGAGATTTTCTGGCCATGTCATTTGTACATTAAGAATGCTCAATATCCATACACATAAATGGCTTAATACTTCTCTGATCCCTTACTCCCCCACAACATTAGAAAGCTCTTTTAATTCTCTTTTAAATCATGTGCTTCTTGTCTTTATGCAAATGTTGTGGTCAAAGGTATAGCTGTTAGAGTGAGTTGAACCCTAGTTAATGTCCTACATATATTTTGTACGGTGCATCAATTTTGGTCCATCTAATTACAGTGTTAAGACTACTTTGACTCATTGCACCTCAACAGACAGTTAGTAGAGAACCTGTATTTTCCAGGGACATTAGGAAACAATGCATTGGCAGATATTGTAAGCTACTGGACCTATGATKACTCCAACTACATTAAGAAGMAGTATGTGCTTGTGTATTGTGCATTCCCTATGGTACATATTGATACATACAGCAAGGAACAAAATATTACATTTGCAATGAGTACAGTACAAGGGCCTCAGGACTGGACCTACATACCTACTAGTACATATTATGATACTACCTCTGAGCATCAAGAGTATCTTTCATTGTGTTCCTGACATGAAGTGTCACTTGATCAGAATTCTAAGAACCCCTGTGGATTATGTACTACTAGAATCCAAAGGGACAGGATATGTCCTCTAAAGTGCTCAACATCTCCCAGACGTCACAGATTATGACACTTTAGAATTGAATAAGATTATAATTCATTTCAAATAAACTTTCAAATACATTTTGTTGTGAATAGCCCTTTCCTAGTAGGCAATTTGAGGTAGGAATAAAGTAGCTCAAAAGTAGAAATAAAGTAGCTTTTAGGTGCTTTTGAAGCAACTTTTAAGCTAGTACTTTCTTAAAGCTACTTTAAAGTAGCTTAAAGTATACAGATCAGCAAAGCAACGCTATTTGAGCATTGCAACACTGCAAATTATATTAATATTATACATTTYATTACGCACTGGCGTTGTGCAACAGTCAAGGATGGAAAAAAGGTGTTGTGGACTGTTGCAGCCCAACTTTTTTCAAATACCGTTGCATTGCTGACCCCTATTAAAGTACTAGTAGTAGCTGTTATTTTGTAGAAATTGGCAAGTCTAGTATAAATTATACATATTATGGCTACCAAAAATTCTTCAAAGCAGCTTTAAAASTTTCTTTAAAGTACTAACTTTAAAGAAGTTTTCAAGAAGCTGATTTTTAGTAGGCAATAGTAAATTGACTTGGGAGGAGAAAAACGCTTGAACTCACCATAAAATGAACACATAGTAGTGGACATGTGCCATTTTGTATGTATGAGGGGATGCACATAAATAATTTTTGACTTAGAGTAGTCATGGTYCAGTAGCTATAGGTAACAACAAGTAACCTGTAATTTTGTAACATCTGAGGCTCCCTTGAATTGAAAAGGGGAAAATACAGTAACATACTGTAATACAATACCAGTTAATTTGATACAAAGAAGGAGTGCATAAACCGTAAAAAAGCCTACCACGCCCTACATAGCAAAAAGGCATTCTACCCAAACACCAAAATTATTACTAGTGAAATTGTGGTTGATTTTGAAGCGCAGTATTTAGTACTGATCTTACATAGATTTACTAGTTTTAGGTCACTTTTAGACTGCAAACAGTGTAAT